TCTTATATTCTTCATGAGAGTGCAAAAAAATAGAAAAGTAGAACATTTCAGACCTTAATGTGATTTGTGAGAAAAAAAATAGAACTACTAACTAAAAATTCAGGATACTGTCTGCATGGTTAACAAGCCATCCCTTTTATGATCCCAATAAAAATGCTAAATTCTTCTAATTCTTCCCATTTGCCAGATATTTGAAGATCTTTCTCACTCTGTTCTTACTGGCTCATGGAAATATGCTAATGTTTCTTTACAAGTCTGCTGGGAGATTTTACTTCGTTTGTTACATGTACCATTTTGGTAGAAATTACCCATCATCACTCTCTTTCCTTCCAATACCAGTATCGGACTTCTGGAAAATTCATGCAGATGATCTGTTTTGCAAATTTAATCATCACTTGTTTTTAACAACTGAGGTTGCTTTAAAGACTTATTTGATAGCTATTTAAGAAATTATTTTTTAAGACAACAGGAGTCCTCTGTTACACATTGGATCATAATATGCTACTTTCTCCCTTTTGCCAACAAACTGAAGTTCAGATTCTTGGTGTTTACGCTTCACCACTTTGGGTCCAAGTCAATGTGTCTCTTCTATTCTATATATTCCCTTTATTTTTCAGCCAATCTTGATCTCCCTCTACATTAGCCTATTTGAAATTTTTAGGCTACCCCATACCTCAGTCACATTTCACTCAAGCTTTTCTCTAAGCCTGTGATGACTTTCCCCCTTGCTTTCCCATTTAATGATCTGAAACCTCCTTCACCAGGAAGCTTTCCTCTAGCCACTCACAGAGAATTTATCACCCTCTCTGCACTTCCCAGTACTTTGTCAGTAACTCTCATATTTTCTGGATTGTAGATGTTTCTGTTCCTAAGTTAAGAGCAAGATCGCTTTAATTTTCAGTCACCTCTTTACATCTTATCATCTTTGTTACATACGGTAAGCTCTCAATGATTTCTGAATTGCAGCACTCCAGACTAGATAGGTTGTTTTGTTCTTCCCGTGAGCACCTGAAGTTTAAATAATGCAGAAACTGTACTTGCAAATGATAAAAAACAATATGCTAAGTAAGAAACAGCCATCAAAATTGACTCTTGAATAATGGATACCAGGATTGTGTAGGACTTGGTCAGGGTGAGAGCCTGAGAGGTATAATATCCCATGTCCTGTTATTTGTCTGGAATCCTGAGTGTCAGAAGTGGTGTTATCTAGGATTTTTCATGGCTGTATATGAATAGATATTCATAGTTAGTCCACATTCTCCCCTGAACATCAAGAAATGCAGATTTCTAGAGGGCCCTAATCCGTGTGGTTTTTTAAAATTTTTTTTATTGGAGTGCTTTACAATGTTGTGTAAGTTTCTACTGTCCAGCAAAGTGGACATATACACATACCCCCTCTTTTTTGGATTTCTTTCCCACTTAGGTCACCACAGAGCACTGAGGAGAATTCCCTGTGCTAGTCAGTAGGTTTTCAGTTATCTATTTTACACATATTATCAATAGTCTAAATATATACATACATCAATCCCAATCTCCTAATTCATCCCACCCTCTCTTTCTCACTTGGTATTCATATGTTTATTCTCTACCTCTATGTCTCTACTTCTGCTTTGTAAGTAAGGCTGTCTATACTAGTTTTTCAGATTCCATACATTTGTGTTAATATATGATACTTGTTTTTCTCTTAGTGACTTATTTCACTCTGTATGATAGTCTCCGGGTCCATCTACATCTCTACCAATGACCCGATTTTGTTCCTTTTTATGACTGAGTAATTATATATATACACTACATCTTTTTATCCTTTCCTCTGCTGAGGACATTTAGGTGGTTTTCATTATTTTTAGTGAAAACTCTGTATTCCATGGCATGATGTCAAACATTTGCCACATACATTTCAGAATGTCATGTTTAGGTACAAATAACAAGTGTTCCAGGGTAATTTAGAATGTTGGGAAAAATAAAACCAGCCAGTTTTTTCCCCTATGTTTTTTGAACTTCGTCAGAAAATAACTAGGGGATGGTTCAAAGTTAAAAAAAAAAAAAGTCTTGAGATTCATGATACAGTCAAGAGTACATGCTGTCAGAAAAAGCTCTTCTGTTTTTCTTGGAAAGAAACCCACATTTCAGGGAATCTCTTGTAAGTCCTGAATCTTCCTGAGATATGAGTTTGAGACTCCAAAACTCAGCTTTAAATAGGGTTTCTGCATTGGCCTTTGTAGCAGTTTGCGCATGCTGATTATGTTGTTGGCTCAGTGTTGGCAGGCAAATGTAATGCCTCCAAGGCCAACCATGCTAGCTGCAGCGGATTCTGGTAACTATTTCTTGTGCCATGTTCTATTCTTTTGACTTATAGTTGAAACTACCTGTGACTAGTATGACAAAATAACCCAGTCTAATTAGAATTTTAGTATTTAACATTTTCATCAGTGCCTGTGTAGAGGTTGAATGAGTTTATATTATTCTAAATCGTTAGAAAATAATCTAAATAACTAAAACATGGTATTTTAATTTGGAAAGAACTAATCTATCTGTAGGAATATTACCCATTTTGGCTTGCTGCCTTTTCCTACACCTTGTTAACTTCTTATTTAGTGAAATAAGAAGGCGTAGAAGCAAGGGCACTGATTTTAGGGTTTGGCATCTTTTCTCAGCTCTGCCAATTACAAGTGACTCTGGACTTAAACCTGCTTTGCCTCTGCTGTTTCATCTGTAAAATGTGAATGATCATTCTTGGTGTACCTAACACCCAGGATGTTTATAAGAATCAGGTGAGAGGATGTATGTATGTGAAAGATGACTGAAAGAATGCACAACACTATTTCAGCTACAGTCTACAAACTCCATAGCATCCTCTTCCTTCAATTTTCACTTTCTCATGTTCAGCTTATTTGCTTAAATTCACCTAAAGAAGAATTAAGGATCATGTTGTTGGCAGCCTTTGGGAATTAGCCTGGATGGTGTCTACTACTTCAGTATAAGAATATATTTCCCAATAAGTCTCCATCTGACAGTATTCCCTTTGCTGAGCCCCCAGCAGATACTGAAGCACTAGCTCTTGAGACTACAATTCTTTTACGTAGTATTCCTCTTTCTCTTGAATTCTTTTGTAGTAACCATTATAAGCAGTGCCTTATAGTATAATCAGGGTAAATCTCAGAATCAGAAAAGATGAAAAGGAGTCCCAGCTTTGGCAAACTGACTTCAGGGCCATTGGAAGAAATATTAGGTGACTCTCTTGGCAAAGGACAGGAATGAAAGGCTCTCAAAGCAGGTAAAGTGGATGTAGCATGGAGACCCAGAGGAAAAGCTGGGGAGTAGGGAGACTGAAGACCTGACCTCAGGTTCTGAAGGACCAAGGTCAGACTCCAGTCCTGGGAAAGAGTATAATGACATGGACCCACTTACTGGATCTTAGATACCAGGCAGTAGGCTTTTTTTTTAAAAGGGCAAGGCCAGTGTCTGGTCACTGAGGCTGAACTAAAGTACTATTACTAGTGACCTGCGCAGGAAGACAGTATAGTTGTCAACATGTAGACCAGAGGGATTTGCTTGGGGATCAGGATTGTCTCAGAGTTTGGGCAGAACTAGTCTTGTAGGAGGTGGTCATCTGTCCCCATCAAGAAGAGCTAGAGAAAAGGGAACATGGGCCGGGTCTGTCAGTACAATGAGGCCATTATCTATTTTCACAGAACACTTTTTTTTCTTGCTCTCTTAAAGTCATCATGAGTGCTGGTATAATTCCAAAGTGCAGTCATTTCTTACTCATATTTTTGAAAATCATTCTTAAAAAGAGCTGGTTTTGTATTTTTCCTTTCTTTCATGTTTTCCATTTTTAAAAATGATTTTGCACAATATTTATATACTTCCAGCCCATACTCTGGCTGCATCTTTAGAAAGTGCACCTCTGTCATCTCAATACCAAAATTCACACACTCTATTTTCTACCAAGTGTCACAAAGTTGTCACCTCACAACTTTTATTTTGCAGTTTTTGCAGATGTTCTCTTATTAAATGCTGAAACTGCAAAAATCATGAGGTAATAGTTTTGTGGAGTGTTCGACTGTCATACAAACAGAACTCTGTGCTTTAATGACTCCTGTTATAATATCTGTTTCTATTTAGTGAGATTATTCTGTGCTTGGAAATGGCTTGTGGTAGCTCGCAGTTCTCTGCTACACTCTTTACACTTCCTTGATAATACGTGCTTCCCCCATGAAGTGTTCAGACATTGGACACAGTCCAAATTTAGGAGATAAATATTTTACTTTTTAATAAACTTTCACATATAAAATGTATGTATATAAATCTGTAAGGGATCATATGAAAACAAAGAACTCTGATGTTATCTTTTGAGATCTACCTATATTTACCCCACACTACAATAACTTTGGGTTCCATCCCTGGGTTGGGAAGATCCCCTGGAGAAGGAAATGGCAACCCACTCCAGTACTCTTGCCTGGAAAATTCCATGGATGGAGGAGCCTGGTGGGCTACAGTCCATGGGGTTGCAAAGAGTCGGATACGACTGGGCGACTTCACTCACAATAGCTTTCAGTCAAACTTTAGCTATGAGACATTGATGCACACAATGCAATACCTTTGGGTTTTCAGCAGAAAACTAAATTATTATCTTTACTAAGAGAGAAGAGAAAATTGATTTTCCCAAATCATTTCAACAAGTATTGAAAACACAAACAGAAATTCTATTAACCCTAAGTCCCCTGAAGCATCTATTGCTATTTAACTGGACTTTGGAGTTACATGTCTTTCTTCAAAAACATCTGTTACAACATCGATTTCTTACCCATTTTCTAAAGGTAGACAAAGAAAGCAACTCTAAGGGTAGTGTAATATGGATATAATGATGACATAGTATGGGCTAAGTCTGACACACTACCAGGATGTCTGTATATAACTGTCTACCATGTCTATGGATGCACAGCTCTATAGGAGTATACTTCTCTGAGGGTACATATCCAGGGACTCTCTAATCTTACCTTGATGGTAGCTAGGACCACCTCCATTATACCACACTGTCTTGGTGTCAGACCCTTGGCATCCTCTCGAATCATGTGTTCCTGGAAAACAGGTGAACAATTTCTTATAAAATTACCAGTTCATTTGTTTAACAACTGTCTTCAAACAAAATTTGTATAATCCCTGTATGCAGATATTTCCCATTTGAGATAACTTTTCCATATGAACAAATTTAGATGATGATAATGACAATTTTGTCAGATATTTAATAAAAATTCATTTTGCCCAAAGAAGGAATACTACATGTTAACTTAAAAAGCAGAACTTTGATTCATATATGGCTTTATTTTTCACTTGCAAACTAATGTTATGGGGGGGGGAAATAATCCTGGAAAATGTGTGTCGAAGCTTTTCCACATTAATCCCTGCTTTCTGTTCTGTCACACTGAAGAAGGTCAACCTTGGAAAGGACTTTGGAGGTAAATTTTAGCCTCATTCAATTATTACTGATAAAATCTACCTTAAGTATAATGCTCTCACTTTCTAGGATCCCCTTAATGCTCAGTCATTAACAGGAAAATTCCCTGTTAATTAACTGAATTCAGTTCTGGAGGTTTTTAATATTTTAAATTCAGTTTTCAATATTTTGGAACTGATTTCCATAAAAACAATTCATTTTATTCGTGGTTCACTATGAACTCTGTCTTCATCTAAAGTTATTTAGGGAAATGATGGTAGAAAGTTGACAATAGAAAGGAAAACTTTTCTGGAGAAAAATTTTTAAATTTCTAACCCACAGATTGATACAATCTCCCCAGGGCATCCAACAAATATTTCCCGAGTGCTTATTATGTGCCAGTACTGTTCTAGGTGACTGAGATATATTGTTTCATAAAAGAAAGACTTTTGTCCTCCAGAGCTTAATTTCTAACTTAGATATGTGCGTCTCTGTGAATCAGAAGGAAAGTCAATATGGGTGGACATAGCTCTGAGAATGCATGGCTTGGTCAAGGGATCAGTGTCTTTGTTCAGTAATAAAAAGCACCTCTTTTTCTATGGGGCACAGCAAGTGGATCATGGACCCCAATTCAGCTGTCATTCACTCCCTTTGTGGGACACTTTTGTGAAATGTACAAACTGTACAGTCACATCCAGTGGCTCATCTTTCTATTCCAGTCCTTATGTTACTCTGTCATTTAGCAGGTGCCATGACTTTCCGAAGATAATCCCTATGTTTTACTCAATTCTGCAGACTTTCAGTGCCTGTCTTGGCAATTATCACCTGCTAGGCACACAATATGTTTTTGGTAACTGAGTTGTACTTCAGAATATCTAAAATGATTCCATACGCTTGAATGGAATTACATTCCCTTGAATATTGTTCAAAACTTGGTATAATGCTAGATTCATGGTATATACTTCTGCATCTTTCTCTGATGTGGGGATTTCACCACAAACATATGAGTCCATTTAATAATTTAAAAATAAGAATATTAAATACCCATTGAGACTCAGAATAATGGGAAATTTTTTGCCAAATTATAGAGAGAAATGCTTGAAGGCAAGTAAATAAATCTGGCTTTTCAGTGTGGTCACATTTTTTAATAGATGCTAATAAATGTTGGTGCTATAGAAAAATACAATTCTTACAATAAATGATTTTCTGTAATTTAACAAACTTATTCAAATAAGGTAGTCTCTGAAAAAGCCTGTCAATGTGTTACTGTTGCTTGCAGGAAATTCATTGTCTCAGATGTATTTTTACTAATTGTATCACCTGTCCATAAAAATGTTATGCCAGATAAATCTGATCCAATAAAATAGTAATAAGTTGGGCATACTTACATTATAAAGTTCCAGATGACAACGTAATATAGAATATGTAAAAATCTAGATAAATCCTTGATTAATGAATTAATTCTAAATCACAGTCACATGCAGGAAAAAAATTAGTTTCCTTTGTTGTTCTATGTCCCTTGATTCTGTGTTCTTTTAAGTAAGGTAGTCATTTGTTAATATTTCTGTACAGGATTGCTGTATTTACTCATTAATACTGACACTTTACCTGTGGATCCGATCTGCCTTCAAACTAATACATGAAAAAAGGAAAAGGCCCAGGATTTGAAATGAAAACAAAAACATTGGAAGCAACATTCTAGTAAAATATGGGAAAACAGTTAAATCAACAAATGGGACCTAATCAAATGTACAAGCTCTTGTACAACAAAGGAAACCATAAACAACACAAAAAACCTACAGCATGGGAGAAAATATTTCGAAAATATACAAACAGCTCATACAACTCAACAACAAAAAGTCCTAACCACCCAATCGAAAAATGGGCAGAAGAAACAGACTTTTATGGTTAACAGTGGAGAAAGATGACAGGGAAGGATAAACTGAGTCTGGAATTTTCATATACATGTTATGAAGATAACTGATAGGGACCTACCGTATAACACAGGTAACACTACTCAATAATCCAAGTGGGAAAGGAATTTGAAAAATAATGCATATATATATAACTGAATCACTTTGCTGTACACTAACACAACACTGTAAATCAACTATATTCCAATATAATTTTTTTAATTTTAAAAAAGATGTACTACATGTACATAATGCAGCAACATGGATAGACTTAGATATTATCTACTAGGTGAAATAATCTGAAAGACAAGGACCATAAGGTATCCCTTACATGTAGAATTTAAAATATGGCATAAATGAACCTATCTACAAAAGAGACTCACAGACACAGAGAACAGACTCGTGTTTGTCAAGGAGGAGGTGGGTAGAGGAAGATGGATTGAGAGTTTGGGGTTAGCACATTGAAACCAGTATATGTAGAATGGATAAACAGTAAGGTCCTACTGCATATCACAAGTAAATCTAGTCAATATCTTCTGGTAAACACTAATGGTGAAGAATTTTAAAAACAATGTGTATTTATATGTAAAACTGAATAATTTTACTATACAGCAGAAATTAGCACAATATAGTAAATCAACTATACTTCAATTAAAAAATGGTAGTTCTATATTTTGGCTACAATTTTAATCTTTTACATAACAATATAGAAGACTTTTGCTCAGTAATTCAAGTAATAATAACTAAATGGACCAATAACTTTAAAAACTCAAGGAATAATAATAGAAAAAATATGTTTTAAAAGTAAGCTGTTTTTCTATCACCTATGAACAACAGGATTCTATTTTTAGTCCTTTGGATTATTTCAGTCTTAATGAATTAATGCTTTTAGGACATCTTATCCATAATATGCTTTTAGTTTATTGTAATCAAGAGAATTCACTGAATTGAAGAAATTTTGAGGCCACTAAAGGGATGTAAGTGCTGTGGTTTCTGTGGACTCTGACGTTTCCCAGGTAGCATACATATGCCCCCTGAGGATCCAGTCTCTCTCTCTCTCTCAGTGTTCATAAGATTTGAATGGGGCTGACAGCACTCCTCAGCTCAGGTGTGGGTATGTGAATTAAGCTCAATGGCATATGTCATCTTCCAGGCAACGGTGGTTGGCTTGGGAATGGTGATAATATTGCATCAGCACTGATGATGTGCCTGTGAACTTTGCTAGAATTTTCTGCATCAAGGTGGGTGTTCTTTTCTATAAAATTTCAAGTTCAAAAATGTTAGATATAAGCAGAGAACTGTCTTACAAACAGGAAAGGAGGATTGTTAAGGCAGTAAGTCAAACAAGGGAAGAACAGAGTTGAAAGAGAGTAACTGGCTTCTGTAACATTGTTTGACTTCCTAATCAAGCAGTGATGGAAACCAGAGTTAGCCCAGAACTGTAAAATTTCATGGAGCTATAAATTCCTTCCTTGCTTTTGTTAGTCTGGCTTTCCATCACTTGAAACTGAAACAGTTATAGCTGATAAAGCATTCAACTCAGGAAGCTGAAGCTGGAGGAGATGCAGTATCCGTTTCCTGATGTCACACAGATGCTACACACACTGCCAAGGCCATTTCTTTTGTAATAAGGCACTGTGATGTTTCACTTTTCCAGGTTTTCTATGAGAAACTTCAATGCTGTATAAATCCGTTTTTCAAAAGGGGATAGAAATCTCAGGGAGGTAATAAGAGGGATCAAGAACACAATAGAGATCCAAGATCCAAAACAATAGTTTCACAATGACATCTACCTTCTACTTTCCCTCTGAACCACCACCATCACTGAATATTTGTGAGAAACAATCTCAGGTGATGGTTCTGACTTCTAAATGGATTATTGGCTTCTAACTTTTTTCTGATGAAGGGGACAAAGTAGGTGATATAACAAGGTACTGCCATTATAGGGCACCTACTTCAATTCAGAAACAAATATGCAGTCACATGGATGATCGGTCCCCTGTTGTGTACACACAAAACAGCCCCGAGGATATGTAACTCTGAGCTGCCAGCCTGGGGAAGAGACAAGAGAATGCCCTCTGTGAGTGGGAAGAGGCATACTCTGCAGTTACCATGCAAAGATAATGAATACATTATCCTCACAACAAATCTATGAACCAAGGGTTAACACTGTCTGGATTTTACAAATGGAAAATCTGAAAATGAGACATGTTCAGTACTTTGGCCAGTGTCACATATTTGGAAGCAGCTGAGGTAGAACGTGGTCAATATCTGGAACCTAGCCCTATGCTGCACGACATTCTCATAGGTAGAAATAAAACAAGGACATATATATCTCAACTACAGGTGCAACTTTGGCCTATATGTGGTCCATTGATAAATGAATGTATAAAAAAGGTGGTATGTACTTACAATATTATTCAGCCTCTAAAAGGAAGGAACCCTTGTTATATGTTACAACATTGATGAAAGTGCAAGACATTATGCTAAGTGCAAAAAGTATGTTACAGAACAACAATATGTATTTTAACCAAATTTCTACTCTAGAGAGAAAAAAATCTGAAGTTCTCTAAACAACTGCAAACTCCTGTGACTCTCAAGCAATAATAAAAGGTAGGATTCTTTACACAGAAAACCCTTGTTATAATGGGGTTGATTATCTTGACAAGCTCAATGTCTGCTTTGATAAGTTTATTTTTCTGCATTAGGTTTCTTGCCTGAAGAGTTCTCTAGACTTTACTGGGTTTCTGTGGAGCACTCTTTGCCTTTCTTCATACAAAGCCAGTTCACTTTAAAAATGAAAATATGCTCTCTAATTTATTTCAAAAGCAGTAATCCTGAATGCTTTAACACAGTTAAAAATTCCCAGCTGCCCTGCAAATTGGAAAATACAAAAAAATATAGGGTGTGGGGAGAAGAAGAAAGCACAATTCAGTCCCTCCATTTTACTCTGATTTCTTCTTAAAACAAGATTGTGAGATCTCAGACACACATCCTTAGTCCTTCTGCAGTAGATAGCACTACTAATAGGAGGTTGGTTTCTCATAGAACTGTAGTCAGTGCACTACCTTTCACAGACAANCAGCACTGTTTATAATAGCCAGGACATGGAAGCAACCCAGATGCCCATCAGCAGACGAATGGATGAGGAAGCTGTGGTACATATACACCATTGAATATTACTCATCCATTAAAAAGAAATCATTTGAATCAGTTCTAATGAGATGGATGAAACTGGAGCCCATTATACAGAGTGAAGTAAGCCCTGCCTTCTTAATTCCTTCCTTAGCCAGAGGTTTTTCCCTAGCACCTCAAAGCCCTGGGGAGAGCTGTAAAAACATCATAGTAAACATTGGAAGCACTACTAGAATACTCATTAGTAGCCTAGAATGTAAATAAAGTGTGTAAGTAAAGCGACCCAACTTGCAGGTTGCTCTGACAGCCTCCCCTATTGGCCAATTAAGTGAAAGCTACCTGATGTTAAAGAAATGCACTATGTATTACAGGAGAATAAGAGACGTAAGTGTGTACGTTTCTAAGTGTGATTTGCCTACCCCATATGTGTAGGTTATAACACATATTCATGGCGTGAAGCAAAACTCTAAGTAATTTATATTTAATACTCACTGTCTGGTGGCAAATCAACAAACATACGAATCTTTGCACATTGGAACACCTTTGCAAGAAAATATTTCCTATATAATTTCACTGGCTAAATTTCACTTAGTATGCATGATTATTGGTGTCAATATATATTTTAGTTTATAATTACTCATTATTTATATCAGCTTGTCTTTCTCAGTCACAGAAGAAAAAATGTTCTATAGCAAGTTCTTGTTAGGGTTATTTCTTTCTTTGCTTGGCTCAGGATATGTGAACTGAGTTAGCTGGTGTATGCATTTGATCACTGTCTGACTTTGCTGTCATTGATCTTTCTGGTTCCTTTTTATTTCACTGTGTCTGATACAATCATGTTCATCAAATCCACTAAAAGATATCACCTATATTTACCTCCAAGTGCAAAGGTGATTGATAAAAGCAAAAGGTTAAAAAGAAAATTCCAGATAGCAGGGTTAGATTTATCTTCTTAAACTGTAAAATTGTAGGAAGAAACACAGCTAGCATATTCTAGCATATATCTGTTTCTCTGGGGTGAGGTTTGTGTAGATGAGATAGCCCCACAAGTTGGGCTTTGATACATTTTTTTTTAAGAGATAGAGTTTGAAATATCAAGCAAGTGTGAAGTTTGACTGCAATTTCCACTACTATTTAAAAATGATTTGTAGTGGGGGTGGTGGGGAGTTGGATTGAGAGTTTGGGACTAGCAGATACAAACTACTATATATAGAATCGATAAACAACAAGGTCCTGTTGTGTAAGACAGGGAAACTATATTCAACATCCTGTAATAAGCCATAATGGAAAATAAAATTGATTCATATAAGGAAATGTCATTGGAATGATCCTTGCTAAGCCATTGTATACCAAACCCTTTTCCCCAAAATGAATTTAATTACTATTTCATCTGGATCAAAACCACTCATTGAAACAAAAACCAATCAGATGGGTTATTGGAAGTACAATCAAACATGAGTTTGAATACTTACTGTTTGGTCTGTCAGAGGAGGGAGAACAATTTGTTTTTCTATTTTGTTAAGAACTAGCTTCCATAACTCTTTCAATACTCGCTTTAGGACTGTTTTCTCACAGATCTTTGCTGAGAGACTTAATCTGAAATAAAATACATAATTGTTCAGGAGTCTCTCACTGAGGTATCACCTTATTTTACTGATCACACATTCACATTTTTCAGGGCTGAGATTCAGATACCTCAATGAGCCTTTATAATTTTCAGATGCTAAATTTACTGGAAAAAATACATAATACCTAAAATCTGTTTCATCATATTTTGTATAATTCATTGTTCGGTAGAAAATGAATTCAGAATATTTCTTTTCTTAAATTGCTTCCCAAATTGACACCAAGGCTCCCAAAGTACATCATTTTTTCCTGCATTCCAGGGTTGTTTTTACTACACGCCCCATGTTCATGGTACAGGCCAAATACCAAAGAAACACATTTTTGTCACTAACTGGCATTGGATCTACACAATTACACAGCATGTTTGGCTTGTAGTAAGAACTTTTAATGTCCACCCTTAGCAATTTTCAAATACATGATACAGTATAGTTTCCTATAAATACTGTACTATATATACATGCTATCTATTACATCCTCAGGACTTACCTTACTGGAAGTTTATATCCTTAGACTTTACTCATTGCCAGCAAACACAAATTTGTTCTCTGAGTTCAGGTTTTCTAGATTCCCAGTTCACCAGCTGTGATAGGCTTAAAGTATTTACTAGTTCTTCTCATGGTGAGATAATGATGGTAACGTCACTGAACATTTATATAACACTTTAGTTTAGAAACCTCTTCTGCAGATATTTCTGGGATTAGTATATCTATTTCAGAAATCAAACACCAGCTCAGAGAGGTTGGAGGGACTTGTCTAAGGAAGTGAAGTTAGTGAGTGAGGGCTGAGATTTAGTAACTTGTCCAACGGCCCCTGCTACTCTTGGTAAACGCACTTGTACATGAAGGCCCAGCAGTATCTGAAGGCACAGTGCTGCACAGAGTTATGGAAAGTACCGTAACTTCCATAACTTGACACTGAACTCTGAGACTCTCTTAATAAAAGTTTATCAAACCTATTGTAAGAGTGCCAGAGTTGGATCATATATTTCAGGGTAGCCTAATGAACTTTCTCCAGTGCTACTAAGTACTCTGAATGGTTGGATGCAGAAATTACTAACTGAGGTCTGATAGAGACAGAATTGACTTTTAAATATTTAAATATATAATTAATACTAACACTTAGGGAGTTAATATTTAAACGCATGTGATGTTTGAGAAGCAAAGGAAGAGATTTCCCAAACTCATTTTCACATAGAAGTATCTCTCCTGACATTGCTGTGTGTAGAACCTAGTATATGAAAATACATGAAAGTGACCTACCCTGGAAGAAGGAGAGAGCTGGGGGGCCCTGAGAGGCATAGCTGTGGAACTCTGTAGCCCCACAAGTTTGGAACCCATTGTTCAGAGGCGGTAGTTCTAGCTTGCTAGTAGATGGATGGATATTCACTATATGGACACGGGGTAGAAACCAGATGATATGTCATGAAAAAATAACAGAACCTATCCTCATTCTTTGGATGATTTGAGAGCCAACAAATCTGCCAATTTTGCAACAGCTGTGTCATTTCCATTTGCTAAAGGTCTGAGTTTAAAAACTGATCTTGTTTTTATGGTCAGCTGATGTACTTGGTGTGCTATCTAACCCTGTTTAAACTGGACTTGAACCAATAGGAATAAAATTGTTGACATGTCTGCATCTCTGCATGGGATTTCTATTAGCTGGAAATGGCCTTTATAGCTTGTTTTATAGAGTAGTGAGGTCTTAGTGGAGAAAATTAAGCATAAAGAAATACAGTGTTGTATAATATTTAGGGAGGCTACACAAAGAGAGCCTGTACATTTATAATACAGTTTTTAAGGGGATCATCTCAAAACCACCTTGGAGACTTTTGAGCTTAATCATTCATTTTAAATAACAAAAAAGAGAGGGGAAATCTAGCAACTGCTTCCTTAATTTAGCCAGAGTTAATCAACTTGGTAATGTAAGCTGAACACATATATTTTGGAACCTGAACTATTTTGACTGATCACAGAACCACTTAACCAGACAATTTTCAAATGTTATGTATACTTGCTGACAAGAGAGATACCTTGCCATACAGTTGAACATATTTTCATAAAAATGTATCCAGCTGTTTTTCCCTCCCCCTGGAATTCCCATCTCCCATTTTCATACATCCAAACCCTATCTGCCTTTAAAGAAGACCTAACACAAATGATATTTCTGCTGATCATCTGAATAGGAGACTACTGAATTATCCCTTATTGCATTTATCTGCTATACTTTTTCTTTTTTTCTTTCTAAACTGTTAGTTCCTTGAGAACAGAATTGGTATGGCTTTTAAAAAGGTCCCCTAATAAGTAGATTTATGGTTATACATTCTGTATTAGCCCCCACATTTCCAAGCTCTCCATGCCTATCTCTTCCTCAAGTTTTAAACTCTTATAGATTTTTAAAGTTCACTGATGTTTTTCTATTTTTATAGTCTCTTTCTACTAAGAATGTGAGGAGATTACATATGATGATATAATAAAGTATAATTAGGTATAGAAGAGAATTTTAAGACTGACTAAAACAATAATTGAAACATATTGAAAAGAAGGGCCAACCCAGTTTATGTATTAGCTGTTTTATGGATGCTGAAATGGATTCAGGGTCCCTTACGTAGTAGAATACTGGAGTGGATTGCCATTTCCTTCTCCAGGGGATCTTCCCTACTGAGGGATCAAAGCTGCAACTCGTGTCTCCTGTATTGACAGGCAGATTCTTTACCACGAAAGCACCTAGGAAAGCCCTAGCAGGTAACAGTACTAGGATACTTTAAAACTTTCTGTATGTTTCACAACTCTTGGTTACAGCATATGCAAAAATAAATAGTTCTGCCAGTGATAAATAATGTACCTCTAAAACTGCCGACTGGAAATCTCTAAACAGAAGGCATTCTGGTAGGAGTTTTAAGAGGCTCAGGATTGCTTTATCCTGTTCTCCACTCACCATCACAGTCACAACTAAATGGTAGTTGTGAATCAATTATGTCTCATCCATAGAAAACAGGCATGACAAACATTTCAAGGGGTTGTTAAGGAATTAGGTGATAAGAGTAAAAGTGTCTATTAAGAACCTAAAGATATGAATATGGCTTTTTCTCCTTCTTCCTTTTCTCTCCCTCCTTTCTTCTACACCACTTGCCTACCTATTTCTCGCTAAGCTACCTAATTACCTATTCACCTCTCTTCTGTGTATTTCTTCATAGCGAACAGAAAATAAGGTTTTTTCTACCAAATACTAAAATTAAAGTGATAAGAACATTAGCCTTACTTATGCAGTAAGGTTATGAGCAAAGGGAAATGGAATTAAAGTAGAACTTATTAATACATAGAAAAGGTTTTGATTCATAGGGTCGCAAAGAGTCGGACACGACTGAGCGACTGAACTGAATTCCTTCTTTGCTGTCCTTATCTTTAACAAAAGGTAATGTATCCTTCTTATTTATCTTGGTTTCATTGGTATTAATTAATTTGTCACAACAATATTAAATGAGGTAATACATGTAAAGTAGTAGATATTACACTGATCCCTTGGTAGGCATTCAAAATTATGTTCTTTTCTACTTTCAGTTCTGGTTTCAAGTATCACCGTTGAAGAAATCATACCCCTTGTTGTTTTGGATCAACGTTTCCCAATTTTGGACACATTTGAAAATATAGGTGCCTACTCAAAACTTACAAAATTAGAACTTCTAAGAGGAGGGACCAAATAGAAAGAGAAACAAGCCAACCTTTTCAGTTAAGAACACTATCTTAGTTGGTCATGAAGGCCTCCTTTCCCACCCATTCCCACCACTACTGAACTGAAATCTCCATGGTATCAAGCACTTTGACTCTCCATCATCATTATCCAGTGTCTAAATTATAGAGTTTGATGCAGATGGACACTCAGTAAATAGTTGCTGAAGGTGGGACGAGGCAGTAATCTACTCGTCTCCGAGCTGAATTAATTCTAGGCACATTTGTGCTATTATCTCCTTCAGCAGGTTTCCGACATGAACTTGGATATTCTGGACTCACTTCTATCTATCTCCATGTCCAAATGTTATCTGAGAAGCATGAAAATCCTAATCTCTCTGTGCCTCAGAATAGCAGCCTCCTTAGTTACCAACACTTATTTCCTCTCCATTTTTCCTTTTCTGTACATAGTCATTCCTTCTATTTTCCCATCTAGTAATGAATTAAGTGTTATGCTTTTTTTTTTTAATGAATTGATCTATTTCTGTAGAAGCAAACTATTCCCCCCCACCCCCGCCAAATCCACATCTGCTGAACTTAGGGCAATGAATAAAGAGAAGATTGAGTAGAATACTTACGTTTTGTCCAAGAAGTCCATGAGCTGTCTTAATACAATCTCTGCATCCATTGCTGCACTGTTCTTATTAGATGTAGTATTTCCATTTGCTCTCATTTGATTTAGTTCAAAACTCATTTGTTTTATGCACCCTTCAATGATAAGCTGGAAACTGAAAATAAAGAATATAAATTATGGAATAAAAGCAAATAATTATGGTTTCCTTTGCCTGTGTCTGTTAAATTCATCCCAGGGAGTTTGATTTATTTCCAATGGCTTGATTTCCTTTGCTCATTAGTTTTCAAGCTTATTGTTCAGCTGCAAAGTTTTTTGTTGCAATGAAAACTTACTTGGAACCCTTATATGTAAAGAAGATAAGAAAGATGCTTTTCGGGTTGAATTAATTTGAGTGGGGGATCATTCGATCCCCATCTCTCCAAATAACAGCTGAACTTCTCGAAACATTGTTTTAAATGACATGCGTTTACTGACGTTTAACAGCTGGGTACTCCTTCCTCAGTTAGCCTCTGGGACTCAAACCTCGTGGCTTTCCTCCAACCTCACTGACTGCTCCTCTTCCATTATCTGGCCTCTGCCTCTAGCCTGGCTTAGCATATTGAAACACAGAATACCTGGGTGGTTTTAATTTCAGGTAGTGAATTGTTTTTTAGTGTAAGTATGCCCCATGTAATATTTGGGGCATATTTATACTAAAGATTGCTTACTTTTATATGGAGTTCAAATTTAATTTGACATATGCTATATTTTATCTGGCAACCCTATGTTGGCAAGCCAACTTCTAGGCTCAGTCCAGTATTAACAAACACTACCTGTATGAGAGGAGACAAGTTGTCAAGGTAAGCAAACTGGAAAGTGGGCTTGGATAAATCAAGGCACAGCTTAAATAAAAGCACTTAGTTTGCACCTAGGATATTTCATAATCTATGAACACTTTGAAGTAAAACTAGACAAAATCACCCTTAAATTTTACTACCACAAGCAAATTAATCATTTACTTAACATTTAAAGTATAAGAGAGAGAAATTTAAAACAACCTTTGGCTCTATAGAGAAAGCCCTATAAAGGAATGATGAAAGAATGATTAAAAGTAATAAAAAGCAAAGTTTACCCCTTTTACCTTTTGTATAATGATTTAACTAAACATTTAATGAAGAGAACTTAAGCCAAATATCCGGAAACCAGAAAAGCTGCTTATGAACAGTTTGTAGGACAAACCATCTTTGTAGCAAAATAAAAGATTTATAAGTAGAGGTGACAAGCCTAACAAGGCTGGTGATAGCTGGTTGTCCAAGAAAAGGATGTTAGTTCAACTTTAAAAATTACCAAAAAGTTTTACATTTTAATGTATTTTTAAATGCTAATCTAAAAAGGTATAGCTTTTTAGAAACCTTATCAAAAGAGTAAATAAATACCTTAGTTAGCTTAAAAGCAGCCACCAAGTACAGGAAGCATAGAGAATCTCATACCCAAGGAGAAATAGGCTGAGACACATACTAATCAAACTAATAAAAATTATATTCAAAGAAAAAATATTAAAAGCAGCAAATGAAAAGCAACAAATAACATACAAGCGAATCCCCATAAGGTTATCAACTGATTTTTCAGCAGAAACTCTGCAGGCCTTAGGGAGTGGCAGAATATATTTGAAGTGATGAAAAACCTACAACCTAGATTACTCTACCCAGCAAGTCTCTCATTCAGATTCAATGGAGGAATTAGAAGCTTTACAGAGAAGCAAAAGCTTAAAAGAACTCAGCACCACCAAAAGAGCCTTACAACAAATGCTGAAAGAACTTCTCCAGGTGGGAAACGTTAGAGCAGAAAAAGACCTACAAAAACAGACCCAAAACGATTAAGAAAATGGTAATAGGAACATATATACTGGGCTTCCCTGGTGGCTCAGACAGTAAAGAATCTGCCTGGAATGCAGGAGACCTGCATTCAGTCGTGGGTTGGGAAGATCCCCTGGGAGGAGGGCATGGCAACCCGCTCCATTCTACCTGCCCGGAGAATCCCCATGGACAGAAGAGCCTGGCAGGCTGCAGTCCATGGGGTTGCAAAGAGTCGGACATGACTGAGCTTGCATATGAATAATTACCTGATATAAATAAAGTTTCTAATCAAAAGACACAGACTGGCTGGATGGGTTAAAAAAACAAGACCTATATATAAATGCTGTCTATAAGACACCCACTTCAGACCTAGAGACACATAAAGACTGAAAGTGAGGGGTTGGAAAAAGATATTTCATATAAATGGAAATAAAAAGAAAGCAGAGTAGTAATACTTATATCAGACAAAATAGACCTTAAAATAAAGACTGTTACAAGGGAAAAGGAAGGACACTATATAGTGGTCAAGGGATCAATCCAAGAAGAAGATATAATAAATATTTATGCACCTAACACAGGAGCACCTCAATACATTAAAGGAAATGCTAACAGTCATAAAAAGGGGGACTCAACAGCAAACTGATAATAGTGGGGAAATTTAACACCCTACTTATACCAATGGACAGATCATCCAGACAGAAAATCAATAAGTAAACACAAGCTTTAAATGACACATTAGACCAGACAGACACAACTGAAATATATAGAACACTCCACCTGAAAGCAGCAGAATACACTTTATTCTTAAGTGCACATGGAACATTCTCCAGGATACATCACATCTTGAGTCACAAATCAAGTCTTGACAAATATAAGAAATCTGAAGTCATAACAAGCATCTTTTCCAACCACAATACTGAGATTAGACATCAATTACAAGAAAAAAACTGTAAAAAGTACAAACACATGGAGGCTAGCTAATATGCTACTAAATAACAGAGAGATCGCTGAGGAAATCAAAAGATACATAGAAACAAATGACAATGAAAACATGATGACCCAAAACCTATGGGATACAGCAAATGCTTTTCTAAGAGGGAAGTTTATAGCAATACAATCCTACCTTAAGAAATGAGAAAACTCTCAAACAACCTAACCTTATACCTAAAGCAACTAGAGAAAGAACAAGCAGCAAAATGCTAAGTTAGCAGAAGGAAAGAAATCATAAAATTCAGGACAGAAGTAAAATAGAAATGAAAACAATAGCAAAGATCAATAAGACTAAAAGCTGGTTCTTTGATAAACAAAACTGATAAACCTTTAGCCAGACTCATCAACAAAAAAGGGAGAGGCCCCAAATCTGTAAAATTATTGGGCTGGCCAAGAAGTTTGTTCCAGTTTTCCTATTACATCTTACAGAAAAAAACCCAAACAAATATTTTGGCCAACCCAATAAAAATGAAAAAGGAGAAATTACAAATTGATACCATAGAAATACAGAGGATAGTAAGACTACTACAAGCAACTGTATACCAATAAAATGGAAGAAATGGACGGATTTTTAGAAAGGCAAAGCCTTCCAAGACTGAACCAGGAAGAAACATAAAATGTGAACAGACCAATCACCAGCAGTGAAATTGAAACTGATTAAAAATATTCCAGCAAACAAAAGTTCAGGAACAGATAGCTTCACAGGTAAACTTTATCAAACATTTAGAGAAGAGCTAACAACCATCCTTCTCAAACTCTTCCAAAAAAAAAAAAAAACCAGAAAAAAACTTCTGAGGGAGGAACACTCCCAAGCTCACTCTATGAGGCCACCATCACCCTGCTACCAAAACTAGACAAAGATATCACACATCCACATCCACAAAAATTACAGACCAGTATCACTGCTGAACACAGAAGCAAAAATCCCAAACAAAGTACTATCAAACAGAATCCAACAACACACAAAAGTATCATAGACCATGAACAAGTGGGATTTATCCCAGGGATGCAAGGATTCTGCAACATACACAAACCAATCAGTGTGATACACCACACTAACCAACAGAGGAATAAAAACTCTATGATAATCTCAATAGATGTAGGAAAAGCTTTTGACAAAATTCAATACCCATTTACAATTAAAAAGCTCTTCAGAAAGTAGGCATAGAGGGAACTTACCTTAACATAATAAAGGCCATATTTGACAAACCCACAGCTATTAATAACAATACACTCAATGGTGAAAAACTGAAAGCATTTCCTCTAAAATCAGGAATAAGACAAGGATGTCCATTCTTGCCACTATTATTCAACATAATTTTGGAAGTCCTAGCCATGGCAATCAGAGAAGAAAAAGAATCCAAATTGAAAGAGAAGTAAAACTGTCACTATCTGCAGATGATGTAATACTATACACAAAGAATCCAAAAGAGGCCACCAGAAATCTACTGGCACTAATCAATGAATTTGATAAAGTTGTAGGATACAAAATCAATACACAGAAATCTCTTGCATTCCTATACACTAGCAAAAAAGATCAGGGAGAGAAAATAAGGTAACAATCCAATTTACCATTGAGACAACAACAACAAAATAAAATACCTAGGAATAAACCTACCTAAGGAGGCAAAAGATCTGTACTCAGAAAACTATAAGATACTGATGAAAGAAAGAAAGACTATACAGACAGATGGAGAGATATACTATATTCTTGGATCAGAAGAATCAATATTGTGAAAACAACTATATTATCCAAAGCAATCTACAGATTCAAAGCAATCTCTATCAAGTTACCAATAGCATTTTTCACAGAATTAGAACAAAAAATTTTACAATTTGTATGGAAACACAAAAGACCCCAAATAGCCAAAAGCAATTGTGAGAAAGAAAAATGGAGTTGGAGGAATCAGGCTCCCTGACTTCAGACTGTACTATAAAACTACAGTAATCAAGACAGTATGGTACTGCATGTGCGCGCACTTGCACACACACACACAGAAATACAGATCAATGAAACAGGACAGAAAGCCCAAAGATAAACCCTCACACCTATGGTCACCTAATCTATGACAAAGGAGGCAAGAATATACAATGGAGAAAAGTTAGTCACTTCAATAAGTGGTGCTGGGAAAACTGCAGAGCTACAGGTAAAAGAATGAAATCAGAACACTCCCTAACACCATACACAAAAATAACCTCAAGTGGATTAAAGACCTAAATGTAAAGCCAGACACTTTAAATCTCTAACCGGAAAACACAGGCAGAATACTCTTTGACATAAATCACAGCAAAAATTTTTTGACTCACTTCCTAATGAAAATAAAAACAA